TCCAGCCCTGTAAAGACATTAGCAGTTCAGAATACTGTTTATCTTCAGCACTGTGTCCTTCCAGGGCTGCTCTCTTTCTCCAAGGTGAGAAAAGAAAGGCCAGTCTGTATGCCTTACTGCTTTTTTTGGAGGGAAGGAGTGATTAGCAGTAGGTAAAACACAAAAGCATTAAGCATCCCATAGCACGACCCACCACAGACATGCCCCAAATGCACCAGTTGTAGATCCAGAATCAAAACTCTGTCAGCTTTTTAGTAGTTTGGTTTTATGGTGCAGTTCAGTCTACTCCAGAAAGGCTGACCAGGGCCCCGCAGATTTCAAGCTTTATCTTCTCTGAAAAATTGCATAGCACTGCTGCATAGTACTCAGTTGTTAGGGCCATACTGTGTCCTTTATAAAGAGGTAAACGCTTGATTTTAGAAAGTACAGTGAAGGAAAAATGCGTAGTGTGTTCTTCCAGTGCTTAACTACAATTACAGTTAGATTGCTCCTTTTTTTTTTCCCCTGGGCTTGTCTAAAATCACAGTATCTTGTCGGTCCTTCTGGAACTGAAGGGCACAGTTCTTAGCAGCTTCCCTATAAATCAGTATCAAACCACTTCTTCTGTGAGGGAAGCTGAATACGTTGTACTTATTCGCTGACCTTCTTCAAGCCTGATTCTTGTGGATATTTTCTGTACCCTTTTGTGCTTTGCAGCTAGACACTAGAACTAAAACATCATACCGTATGCCTTCCTAGCATTTTATGTGTTAGTGACTGGTATCTCTCTTAGATTTTATAATTTCCTTCTTATCTGTGCAACATTTGCTTCACCTTTGTCTGGTGGTGCATTTGGAACTCAATTAGTTATATTCAGGACTCCACCTTTTCAGAGTTACTTTTTAGGATACCAGCTATCTTCTTCAGAGTGTCATTCAAGTTCTTTGCTGCCAGATGTTTGATCTTACATTTGGCTAGAGTAAGATGCATGCCTTTAAACTCTGACTCTTCTTTCTCTTACACATACAAAGGCTACACCATGCAGTAAAAAAACCCTCAACAATCTGGATGTCGTCTATGCACAGAGATGTACCCACATCTGTACACAAAGATCTGAAATCTGACTGGCATAGGATTGAAAGGAAATTCCTCTGGAATCTTACTGGGAACTACTACCCAACATGGCAGTCCACTCTTAACTATTCCTTCTTGGCAACTATCAGCTGCCCAGTTTAAACTAGAATTCTGTATGGGACAAATTAAATATCATACTGTGGTCTTAGTCAATAATATCAACAGTTGATTTATCTTGAAAGTTGTCATTTCATGAAAGTGTGGAGACAAGTTTAATGGACAAGCCCTTGTTTGCAGGAAACTTAATAGACATGAGCTGTGCTGCCAGCCTTTAATTCTTAAAGCATGACATGATTTGGGGGTTAAACTACAGAAAAAGAGGCCCTTCCGCATCCAGGCCTCTATTCCATACCTGTTGCTGTCTCACCGTCTGTAAATCCACAGCAATCGGCAAGATGCTCTCTGTTTGCCCTGGTCCTGTACAGGAGCTAGAAGTGATCAGACAGCAACCAGCAGAAACGTTTGAATCAGAGCAGAGCTTTGCTAATGCGTACGGGGTCTGAGGAGACATTTGGTTCAGGAGGGGGGTTAATACAGTTTTTGATCTGATCCAAGCTGGCTAGCGCCTCATCTCGAGGCGACCTTCTCCACTCGCCCCATGAGCTTCGGCTACAAAATGAGCTGTGTACAGCCACGCAACCAGGGAGCCAGGTATGCACACGCACGCACACAGGACACACACACACAACTTACTAGACTGAACCTTTCAAATCCAAACAGCTTCAGTAAACAAAAGTGAAAAGGAAGCCCAAAGACAAGTGCTGTCATCAACTCAAACTGGCATATGTTGTCAGGATAGAGGACCCTTGAAAAGGCAAGAACAGGGGATCTAATCCACACAAATTTTGTAAGAAGATCATTCAAATCAGCATATACCAGCTCCTTATAAATCAACGCTGGCACAGTTAACCAATTTGCATGCTGTTATGGGAACAGAGAAATAAAAGCCATTTATGCAAAGAGCCTGTCCACGTCAGAAGTCCTCTCCTTTGAGAAGGCATTTATGTTCCGGTGAAAGTGCATCGCTGGCAGCATCTCATCCCCCTGCTTTGAATGATTCTGTCCTTCAGTCCAGGAGAGTGCATCCCTTCAGTGCCAGGTGCATTCTCAGACCAGACAAACTCATTACGCCACATTTTCCAGCCCATTGAAAAGGCAAAGCGCTGAGCTAATATTTTGCTGCAGGCTAGGAAGTCCAGCTGGAACATGACGTTTGCTAGCCTGCAGTTTCTTTAAAGTTGGGGCTAGAAGGGCATGGCCAAGTAAGATGGTAGCTGCAGCATGTCTGAGGTCTCTTACTTAGACCAGCTGAGCTTTTCCAGCATGTAAAGTCCTTCTGTCCCTTATTCAGAGAAATTTTCTTTCAATTAGAAACACATATTTGACTTCAGAGAGAACAAGTTGCATGAGAAAGATGAGGAAAAGGTGTGTCTGGAGGGTAGCTGAAGACTCAGGAGACTTCACTGGACTTACATTTTTTATGTTTTCCTTGGCAAACACAAAAAAAGTACAGCCTTTGGATTTATTCTCTTTTTCTAATGGAAGTTCAGATTATGAGGTGCAAAATGAGAATCTTGCAGATTCATAAGCTGTGCTACTGCTCTGCCACACTTACCAAAAGTAACTTTACTGTCTAACTAAGAACATGTGTCCTGTTGGGCACATTTTTATGGGATCTTGAGGTTTGTTGATCATACCACAAAAGCAGAAGAGGTGATACTTGTCATCTTGTTGCTGGAGCACAGTGACTGTACACAGATCCCATAATGACAGTGGAGGGGAGACAGTGCCAACAGTTCGAGGAAAGTCTGGCAGGAAACTTTGAGGAAGCCTCCATTGCTTTGACATACGAGAATGACGCTTTCTCTCTTCACTTTCTCTACAGGCAAGAAAAATTCCATTCTGCTGCATAAAGTCCAGCATGACCTCAATTCGGGTGTTTTCAACTACCAAGAGAATGAGATCATCCAGCAGATTGTGCAGCACGACAGAGAGATGGCACACTGTGCTCACAATGTCCAGGCTGCCGCTGCTGCTGCTGCCGCTGCCGCATCCACACCCACCCCTGTCATCTGGACTCCACTGATCCAGGCACCCCACCACCACTTCTGTCGCTATAGCTCTGACCCACCACCCACGCCTCCCAACAGCCATCTTCCGTCCTCCAGTGTCCGTCTTGGGTTCCCTGGGACAGCAATCCAACCAGACTCCAAGACAGCTGAAAAGGCTTCAGTCTCTAATCCCATCGACTGGACCTTCTGCCGTTGGCTCTCCCTCCAGTACTCCATCCCAGCTGCATACACCAGGAGCAGAAACCCCTTCGTCCTCTTCCTTCCACATCCAGCAGCTCGCAGGATTCTCAGCTGCCGCCGGCTTAGGCCAGTTCCAGGTGGGATCCCCTCCAGGTGGCTCAAGCCAGCCGGGTACAAGCGGCATGTCCTCAGTGGGACTGAGCCAGTTCCAGCAAGCACCTTCTGGATCACCTTTAGGTGCAGCTCAGCCCGTGCAGCAGCAGCAGCAGCAGCCGGCCCTTTCCAGCAGTGGATTTGGGCACTTCCAGCAAGCCACAGCTAGCTCCCCATCAACATCACTCACCCAGCTCTCATCAAACTCACCCCCCAGTCTTCTCAACCAGTTCCAGCCCACCACAAGACCACTGCAGGGGGGACAGTTGCAGCAGCTCTCGGGCAGTGGGACTTTGGGGGGAATGCATCACTTCCAACCCCCTCCTTCTTCCAACTCTCCATCCTCCAGCCTAAGCCAGCTGGCACAGGCCTCTGGTGGGCCGTCCTCAGGCCTGTGCCAAACACATCCAAGTGCATTGGGGTCTTTAACTGGAACGATAGCCCAGCTCCACCAAGAACGGCCACCTTTTGCCTCCATGTCTCCACTACAACAGTCTGGTGTCGCCTCTCCCTGTTATACTCCTTCTGGCCTTAGTCCTCCTAGTCAGAGCCCAGTGGCAACAAGAACTTTTCAGTGTGTCCCTTCTGGGGCCTCAGGCTCTCACGGATCTCTGCTCCTGCCTCAGACCGCCAGCCCACCTCCACAGATCCTGCAGTCCAAGAGCACGCCGCCTGTGCCACCGGGACGTCTGAACCAGGACATCAAGTTGATTTCTGCTTCTCAGCCATCTTTGCCCCAAGAGCTGGCTCAGACACTGAGCCAAAGTTCTCCTCATTCCTCTAGAGAATCTGTTTCTAGCTTCTCTCCTTTTCCTGGTGGAGGGACTGGACTTCTTGGGAAGCCTTGTAGCTCAATTCCTGGGCGTGTGACTTTACCACGTCAGATGTCCTCAGGTTCTTTACCATATCCACTGGTGTTTGGGGCCAGCGCTGCAGGCGCTGCTTCTCTGACTGCTGGTGGGCGGAAAGAATCCATAGTACTCACAGGGGATCTGGAACCTGTCAGATCCAAACTGCCCTCCAATTTGTGAGGACTCCTTCCGAGAGCTGGTTATGTCAGCCGTGCAATTCAGTTCCTGATTAGACTTTCATGAATCATTTTTTTCCTTTTCTTTCCCTCCTTCCCTCTTTTTTCTCCATTTCTTTTGTTTAGGTTTAACTGTGATTAGAAACAAACAAAAAACACATGAAAAATAACAAAAAAAGAAGATAACCAGGTATTCTTAGAGCTATAGATTTTTGGTCACTTGATTTTATAGAATATTTTAATACATGGAACAAAAGGATATGAGCAAATTTAATCCAACGAGGTAACGCACAGACAAGGCGTGTGCCTGAGCTGGAACATATGAATGATCAGCCATAGAAGCCACCAAAAAAGGTTTTCCTGTTGAGACAAAGATCTGAGGTTGACGTGGGCCGTAAAAGGGAACATCAGGTCAGGCCTGTAGCTGGTGTTTTCAGAACAGCTCTGGTTGGCCTCAGCTTTGCATCGCTTTGCACCAGCTGTGAACCTGGCCCGCAGCACCTGTATGTGGGGGGACTTGGACGGCTCGCTGCACGCGTCATAAAGTTTCACGTCCTCCCAGGTTTTCTCCTGTGATCGGCAGGTTGCAGAGGAAGCAAGAAGAGGGGTGAGTTTCATTAATGCAGTCCCCTCTAGGGATTTCAGAAGGGCTGAGTTTTCGTTTGGACTCCATCTGAAGAAGATAAAGGTGACCAGGAGATGGATGGGCCTGACTCCAGATGTTTGTCTCTTTTCTTATTCCACTGATGCTCTGGTGGGAACAAGAAACAATCCCTTGTAAGTCACAGGGAGGGCAGTGAATATCCCCTCTGTATTTTAGGAGGCGTCGTGGATGTGGGTTGTGGGAGAAGTCCCGTCTCTCTGCCAGCGAGCCAGGCAGCTGGCCTCAGCCAGCAGAAGAGCCCAAGCTTCAACCTCTCCACGGTTTGGAAAGTGTGCGTGCTGCCTTCCAGGTTGGGGCGTGCAAAGCAAGGGGAGGGATGAAGAAAGAGGCAGCACTTTAACCTTCCCTCCCTCATTTTAATGTCTCAGTGTCCATGGGCTGACTGCTTTGAAGAGAACTGGGGAGAATAAGATGGAAAAGTGGGGTGCAGTCACCCCAGCCCTCTTCCTCCTTAGCCCAGGGGAATTTGAGCTTTTAGGCACCAAGGGTCATACTGGTGACCCACCAAGAATCCTCCAGATTTGCAACTTATGTTTATACCGTTAAACCAGATTAGACCAGAAATTTGGCCAGCCATGCTCCATGCTTCTCCTCTGATGGGGGAATTGAAATCATTTGCTTGATTTCACCAGCAATAACAGCCTGTACCTGATCGGCTTTGGTCTCGCCCTGCAGCTGCAGCATCACTGGACACATCTGGGGCCTGGCAGGCGCGTTGAGCTGGAATTTTTGGGCTCCCCTGATAGAAGGCAGTCAAAGTGGGATGAAGACAGTAAGGGCCATTGGGTGCACACAGCACTGAGAAGCTACAGCCTTTACCTCTAGAGCAAATGTCTCCTTTTCTTTTACTTTGATCCTCTTGTGTTTTTCCTTAGGCCAAGAGGTGTCTCCAGCCACCTCGCTGTAAAGGGTCAGGTGCTCAATTTTTCTAACAAACAAACACGTGTTAGAAACACATGTCCAGCCTCCCTCTGTTTCCAGCTATTATGGGGTCCCTCCAGCCCTCAGAGGGAAAGCAGGACTTCATGCAGCAGTGCCAAAAATCTTACTGTTATCACAGTAACGATACAGGTCCATGTAACTCCCTTTCTTGCCTCCTCCCACCCCTAACTCTCTCCCAAGACACTGGCTGACAGTTATTTTTTATACCGAATTGTTTGCAAAACTCTTGACATGTGCCTGTATCTTGAATGTTGCTGCAAGCATTACTGGGCACTCCTGCTTCAACGTGCTTTGGTGGCTCAGAATTCAGATGTAATCAGCTTTGGTCTTCCTTAAAGGGTCAGGGGAACTCTAGGTATGTTTTTTCTACTAGCTACATACAACTATATATGTGTGAGTGTGTGTGGTGGGAGGGGTGCATGTGTGTGTGTGTGTGTGTATAGATTTTATATCTCTCTCTCTATATATATACACACATGCTTTTATATATAGTATACAGTTACACACATATGTAGTCTATTTATGCACATGTGTAAGCACGCACACACACACATATATTTTTTTATATATATCTCTCTCCTAGTTTTAAAATACATGTCAATTTTGACCCTACTGTAGGACTGATTGGCAGGTGATAATTATGATATATAGATCCTGCTTTTCCAAATATGTACAGGTTCATCTTGAAACAGAATCAGTTGACGGAATTGAAGCAGACTCACAGACCCTCTCATATTTTCAAAGGTATGAGGCAGTTCCTAGAAGGAAGACTCACGATATCCTTTTAAATTTTATATTTGTTTTAGCAATCTTTTTTCCCCGTATGCTAGAGGGCCCCTAGAATGAGCATCTCAAGTGGTTGGGAGCTGAGCTGTTTGGATCTGGGGTACCTAATATAAGCAAGTGGGAAAGGTCTTCAGCCCAGCAATGCCAAGCCCTTACGGATGACTGTCCTGTGACTGCTGCATTGGTACTTGAATCTCAACAACCCCTGTGGACACTCAGACAAATGGAGGAGCACAGAAACACCCTGAGGGCTGTCTCTTGTAGACGTGCGTTCCATCCACCAGTCTGGTGAACATCCTTCTTCGGTTGGGTTCCTTTGTTTTTCATGGGGATATTGTTTGATTTTCCAGTTCTTAGCAGTGCAGTAGCCAATATTGAGTTATTCCGACTGGACCCCAGTTAACACTAGGCTTGTCTCAGTAGGTGGAACTATATTAATTATTATTGTTATTTTTTGTTTTATTTTGGGGGGAAGGGAGGGCAGAGTTCTAGGGGTGGGGTTTGCAATATAAAACACACAATAAAAACCTTAGTAAATAAAAACGTGAAAACCCATCCCTCTGCTTTTCTGTCTGCTTTAAGTGTTGAACTTCAGGCAACATGAGACGAGATTTAAAGAAGAAAAAAAACTTGAGTGGCGTTTCAGTCCTCTCTGTCCTGTTGAGCAGAGAGGATGCAGGGTTTTGTCTCACTTCCTGTCTGTATTTTCCTGATGTCTTTAGAGCTTTAGTAGTGTGTTTACCAGCTGCCACACCTCCACCTCACACATTCTTGTAGGAAGTGTGCATTAAGCCATTGACAGTAAAAGTTTAAAACTTTTGCCTACACTTGAATTTTTAACAATACAAAGGAGAAATCTGGTAGTAGTTTTGCAAATGTGTGTATGAAAATCCTTCACATTAATGGCAGATATGGAAACTCTGGCTGACTTTGTGATCCTCGGAGAAGAGCCTAGGAAGCGCTACCCCAGGTTACAGACCTTAACAACTTGGAATCGGGACTATCACAGAAAGCGGACAAAAAATGGGAGAAAGGAAGTAGCTGTTTCGGTCTCAGACTAAGCTAGATGATGATGCCAAGGTCAGGACCTGATGTATTTTAGGAAGGTAAAACTAGCCTCAACTCTTAGCTTTCATTTCACTCCTGTGATGCCCTCTTTGAGTCTTTGTCCAAACCCACTCTAGGAAGTATGCACAAAACTGATGATTTGGGTCAGTAGCTCACATGAGAGTTGTATGGCCTTGTGCCCTTTCTTCGTAGCCAAGAAAACGTAGGGCAAAGCAGCCCAGCTGCTGGAGTGTGTCCTGCAGCCTGTGGCAGCAAGGTGTAGCTAGGCACCATCCTCCCTGCTCCCTTTCCTCCAACCAGTCGATGTCAAGAGCCTCACCTCCATGCAGTGCCTCACCTCTGCCTTGCCGATAGTCTCACATTCATTTTTCCTTCTCTGAAATCTTATTTTCTTCATACCTTTTCATCCAACAGTGGCATTTAGCCCTCTGACGTGTGGCCAGCCTCTGAAAGACTTGGATTTGCTAACACGTCAACAGTGTGTCTTTCCTGCT